TTGCTGGAAAAGCTCAGCAGGTCTGGCAGCATCTGTGAAAGAAAAAACAGAGTTAATGTTTTGGGACCTTAGTTCTGAGGAAGGGTCACTGACCCAAAATGTTAACTCTGTTTATTCCTTCACAGATGCTGCCAGACCTGCTGAGCTTCTCCAGCAACTTTGTTTTTGGTCCTGATTTACAGAAACCACAGTTCTTTCGGTTTTTATTTAGAACCCAAAGGGATTCTACAGATACATTAAGGATAAAACAGTAACTAGGGAGAGAAAAGGGCCCCTTAAAGACCAGCAAGGCCGCTTACGTGTGGAACTGCAGCAGAAGGCAGGGGCGGGGGGAGAAATACTGAACAAGTATTTTGTATTAGTGTTTACTGTAGAGAAGAATATGGAAGATACAGAACTTGGAGGAATAAGTAGCGACATCCTGAAAAATGTCCATATTATAGACGTGGTGGTGCTGGATGTCTTAAAATGCAAGAAGGTGGATTAACCTCTGGGACCTTATCAGGTGTACCCCAGAACTCTGTGGGAAGCTAGGGAAGTAATTACTGAGCCCTTTGTTGAGATATATGTATCAATAGCCACAGGTGAGGTTCTGGAAGACTGGAGGTTGGCTAATGTGGTACCACTATTTAAGAAACGTGGTAAGGAAAAACCAGGGAACTACAGACCGGTCAGCCTGACATCAATGGTGGAGGGGATCCCGAGGGACAGGATTTACATTTATTTGGAAAGATAAGGACTGATTAGGGAAGTCACCAGGGTTTTGTGCATGGAAAGTGGTGTCTCACTAACTTGATTGAGTTTTTTGAAGAAGTAACGAAGAGGACTGATGAAGGCAGAGTGGTGGACGTACTCTATATGGACTTCTGTAAGGTGTTTGACAAGGTTCCTCATGGTAGATTAGGTAGCAAGGTTGGATCACATGGAATACAGGGAGAACTAGCCATTTGGATACAGAACTGGCTCAAAGGCAGAAGACAGAAGGTGTTGGCAAAGAACTGCTATTCAGATTGGAGTCCTGTGGCACACTGCTGGTCACAAGGATTGATGCTGGATACACTGCTTTTCAGTCATTTTTCTAAATGATCTGGATATGAACACTGGAGGTATGGTTAGTAAGTGGGCAGGTGACACCAAATTTGGAGGTGTAGTGGACAGCCAAGGTTACCTCAGAGTTCAACAGGATCTTGATCAGATGGTTCAATGGGCCGAGGAGTGGCAGATGGAGTTAGATTTAGATAAATGTGATTCTGCATTTTGAGAAGGCAAATCAGGGCAGAACTAACACACTCAACAGTAATGTCCTGGGGAGTGTTGCTGAGCAAAGAGTGCAGGTTCATAGGTCCTTGAAAGTAGAATTGCAGGTAGACAGGATAGAGAAAGCGGCGCTTAGTGTGCTTGCCTTTATTGGTGTGTGAATTGGATATAGAAGTTGGGAGGTCATGTTGTGGCTATACATGGGTTAGGCCACTATTGGAACACTGCATCCAATTCTGGTCTCCCTGCTATAGGATGTTGTGAAACCTGAAAAGGGTTCAGAAAAAATTTACAAGGACGTTGCCAGGGTTTGAGTTAGAGAGACGCTGAATAGGCTGTGGCTATTTTCCCTGGAGCGTCGAAGGCTGAGGAGTGGCCTTATAGAAGTTTATTCCATCATGAGGGGCATGGATAGGGTGAACAGCCAAGGTCTTTTCTGTGAGGTGGAGGAGTCCAGAACTACAGGGCATAGGTTTAAGGTGAGAAGAGAATGATTTAAAAGGGACCTAAGGGGCAACTTTTTCCACACAGAGGGTGGTGCATGTATGGAACAAGCTGCCACAGGACATTGTGGAGGCTGATACAATTACAACATTTAAAAGTTTAAAAGGCATCTAGATGAGTATACGAATAGGAAGGATTTAGAGGGATATGGGCCAAATGCTGGCAAATGGGACTAGATTAATTTGGGATATCTGGTCGGCATGGTGAATTGGATCAAAGGGTCTGTTTCAATGTTGTACAGCTCTGTGACTACATGACGTGGGGTTGCTTTCAATGCTGGTTAATCATTCCTCTTAACAATCAATCTTTTCAGATTTGGAGAGTGGTTTGACAGCAGGTTAACATTTTCTTGTGAACCCTGCCCATTTATCTGGGCTGTGAACCTGTACCGATACATGTTGACTTGCCCATGTCCATGGCACCACAGCATGGTGGGACACGAACCTGGGGCTTTCTGACTCAGAGGCATGAACACTACCAACTATGCCACCTGGGCGCCATAATTGAGCACTACTTTAATGAAGAGAAAGATTCAATCACAACGTCAATAGTATGGTTGTAGCATCATGCGAGAAATTGATGGAATGAAGAGAATGAATTGTAGAAGAAACGTCAAGATGATGAGATATCTGCAAATATGTGAGTTTTAATATATCAAAGTTGTGAATACTGTACACTTCCTGCACATAAAAGTTGTTCCATGAATCAAAGGTTTTACTAATATTCTTATGCCAAAACAAATAATAGAAACTTTCTTTATTAATGTTCTTAATGTGCTGCAATTAAAGCACATTAACCAATTAGAGCAACAGATGGCACTATTGTTCCTTTTTGATGTTCTACCTTCAAACCCCAGAATTCATGCCTGACATGCTATAAATTGACTAGATACTTTCAGTCTCAATAACTGAAAAATAAATTTATATCTAATGATCCTTAATTCGTGACACAGGAAAAAGGTTCTTTCAAACCATGACCTATTCTCTTTTTGGCAACTTCCTGTTCAATGATATGTCTGTTTCCTTTCACCCTGTTTTTAGATGTCATTCCCTCATCATCTTCTACACTCCCCTTATGGCTGCTGGCAAAATACCTTTATTTCTGCCTTGTTCCATGCTGCTTCATTCTTTAAATTGAATCCTGGCTCTGTCAGGAGCGAAGTAATTGACTGACATACTAATGGAGTCTTAGGCAGTACTTGAACATTGAGGATGACTTGCTTCCACACCAATTTGATGGATTCAGATGGCTGCTAAGGCTGATCTGCATACTCTACCATATGAGAGGCAGGTGGTGTTTGGTGGGCTGGGTTAAATGCATTGCTTAGAGGTTTGCATGCCCCATATGACACCTCAAATTCACTTTTGTACATTCTTAATTATGTTTTTCTAAGTATTCAGTGTCTTCCAAGTGAGTTTTAATCATTTAAGTTAGTCAGTCACAGCCAGTAACTTCTATGAGTCGATGGTTATGTTTGACCTTTTCAGGGCATCTCAGACGACATCCCCAAAGCATTTCACTGTCCTCCTGGGAGTCTCCTGTGATGACTGTGTCCTGCATAAGATGCTTTCATAGTCTGGTGTCAGGCATCACCAGCAAGTCTGGTTTCAAGTGATTAGTACTTGGATTCTGAGAAACTTGGCTTGCTCAGTAGCTGCTGTTGGATTGCCTTTCTCGCTTCTGGATCATGTAACGGTTCTACCAGAAGTGTGTCTCCAGTACCCAATAATGATTGCCCAAGTGCCAAAAGTTTCATATGGTCCTATGAAACAGGACCTGAGTCTTGGGTTTGAGACTGTACACTTAATTCTTTTTCCCTCAATCATTAATACCTCCAGGATCTGATAAACTTCAACTCCACTTTCCTGACTTTTCCCCAGAACCCTTGATTCCCTCTCCGATTAAAAATTTGTCTATCTCAGCCTTGAACATACTTATCAACCCAGCCTCAACAGCCCTCCAAAGTAAAACGTTCCACAGATTCATTATTATCCTTTGACAGAAGAAATTCCTGTTCATCTCTGTCTTACAAGGGTAACACCTTACTCTGAGAATATGCCTTCTGGTCCTAGACTCTCCCACAAGGAGAAATAACATTTTTGCATCTATCCCATCAAGTCCCTTAAGAATCCTGTGTGTTTCAATAACATTGCCTCTCATTCTTCTAAATTCCAATTAGTACAAGTCCAGCCTATTCAACCTTTCCTCATAAGATAGTTTCTCCATACCTGTATCAAGCTGGTGAACCTTCTCTGGACTGCCTCCAGTGTCAGCATATCTTTCCTCAGATAAGGGGTCCAACACTGTTCAGAATTTCAGCTGTGATCTGACTAGTGCCTTGTATGGTTTTATGAAAACTCCCTACATTTATACTCACTTCCCTTTGAAATGAAGGCCACCGTTCCATTTGCCTTCCCTATCACCTGTTGAATGTAGATGTTAGCTTTCTGTTAATTCCTAAATTCCTCTGTTGTTTAGCTTTCTGCATTTAAATAATATTCAGCTCCTTTATTCTTCCTACAAAAATGTGCTACATCACATTTTCCTACATTAAATTCCCACTGCCCTGCTTTTGCCCACTCACTTTACCTGTCTACATCCCTTTGTGACTGTGTAATACTCATTACTTACCGTCCCAACTATTTTTGGGTCATCCACAAACTTGGCAATAGTACAATCACTTTCCTCATCCAAGTGGTTAATATAAATTGCAAATAATTGTGGCCCCAGCACAGAATCCTGTGCCACTCAACCAGTTACAGGTTCTTGAGATGTCTGGGTTCCTGAGCTATGGTGACAGCGCAGCCCTCAGAAGTGCCACTGTTGCCACACTCCATGAAAATTGACATTCCAGAACCTGAACATTATTTGACGATATGGAAATTGACTGTGTTTAATTACTTTACCATCTATAACAATGCACAGTTCAAAAGGCAGCTTCGAACTGGAATCTTCAAGCACCTTCCTTACTGAATTTGATCAATACATAAATTTCCAAAGGATGACGACATTGCCATTTTAATTTTGAGCGAGTATAAACTGCAGTGCATGAAATAGCACCCATGTCTGTCTTAAGCTCAAAACATATTGCATTGCAATTGCATCTTCACACATCTTACAGACTGAATAATAGAGATTTTAGGATAATTCATGCCAGATTGGTACAAATAATCTTTTAACCATTTAACAATAATAATTTACTGTAGTATAAATATTCTAAGTTAATGTTAATTTCCTCCTGCTGCATGAAGTAATCAAATTTACCGTCGAGATTCATTCCAGCCTGGAGGCACTTTCTAAAACGGCAAGCTGGGCAGTTCTTTCGACGAATCTTATCAATGATGCAGTCATTCCTTCCAGCACAGAGGTAGTTATGCTGTCCTATAAAGGAAAATATAAAATGTTTGAATACATCATTAATGTAATTGATGTAAAAATCCAATTGGGTGAAAGAGAAAAACTGCTAACAAATGTTAATGACAATATACAACAACGTGTGGAAGGGTCATTCAACCTGACAAGTTAACTCCAATTTCTCGCCACAGTGCTACCAGACCTGCTGAGAGTTTCCAGCAATTTCTGTTTTTGTTTCTGATTTACAGCATCGGCAGTTCTTTCAATTTTATGCAACAACCTGTAATGGAAATTACAGCTCTGGCTATAAGTAGGGCGTGATTGAGAGCAAAACAATCCAAGCTTACAGAATCATTAGAAACAAGAGGGCAATTTGAATAGGAAGGGAAATGAGAAGGTTGATAAATGAAAAATACTGTCGTGGAGAGAAAGGGTTTTCAACAATGGTGATCAGGCAGTGAAAACACAATGGGCAGGAGAAATTAGTAGCAAAAGACCACAGAAGGTGTGTTTAAATACCTCCTTTGATTTGGGGGTGGTGGAGGATACAGAAGTAAGTCGCAAACACAATTTAGTCACAAAGGAATTTTTAAGTTTCACAGGATAGCAGGTAGAATAATTCAAGTGATACAAGCAATGAATCTCCAGGATGCATTTAGGATTAACTTTCCAGAGCTAAGATGATGTTTAGAAATGACAACAGAAAAGGCAATAATGGATTTAGCAATGAGTAACAAATAAGAGTTAGCTTGTTAAGAATCTGATATGACTATGAAGTGATTGAATTTGATATTAGGTTTGGGAGGCAAATGAGAATTTAAAAAAAAAACACATTTTAAATTTAATTAAAGCAAACTTAAAAGGGTGATTAATGAACGGATTATAGTAAATAAAACTGATCCATTACAGACAATGATAGAAGATGTGCTACTAAACCAGTACATACCCCAAACGTCAAGCGATTTGCTTGTGTATGCAAATCACTATGGTGAATAAATGATGCACATAATTGTATGAAGTTAAAAGAAGCAGCTACTCAAATGGAAGGAAACAGACTAGTTATGAACATCACTAAAAGAATACCAAGAGAGTAATAACAAATGCAAAAGGGGAATAAGAACAAAGAACAAAAGAAAATTACAGCACAGGAACAGGCCCTTCGGCCCTCCAAGCCTGCACCCATCCAGATCCTCTATCTAAACCTGTCATCTATTTTCCAAGGATCTGTATCCCTCTGCTCCCTGCCCATTCATGTATCTGTCTAGATACATCTTAAATGACGTTATCGTGCCCGCCTCTACCACCTCCGCTGGCAACGTGTTCCAGGCACCCACCACCCTCTGCGTAAAGAACTTTCCACGCATATCTCCCTTAAACTTTTCCCCTCTCACCTTGAAATCGTGACCCATAGTCATCGAGTCCCCCACTCGGGGTGGGGGTAGGGGGCTGGGGGGAGGGGGAGTGAGAAGCTTCTCGCTATCCACCCTATCTATACCTCTCATGATTTTGTGGACCTCAAATCAGGTCCCCCCTCAACCTCCGTCTTTCTAATGTAAATAATCCTAATCTACTCAACCTCTCTTCTCACGAGGTTTCAGTGCATAATATAGAAGTGGCATATTTGCTAAGTGAGTATATTGTAACTGTTCCTACATTGGCAAAAGAAGAAAATACTGCCAATACAAGGGAACATATAAATAAATTCTGTGGAAGAATTTGGTGGATTTAATAAACCTCAGAGCTGCAGAAGCAAAAATAATAGGAATTGAAACAGACAAGCATCCAGTACTCAAATGCTTTTCTACTTCAGGGTGCAAAAAAGTGAGGAAATTACAGATACAATAATCATAATTTTGCATGTTTCTTTCCTGATAGCTGAAAAATTGTTCCATCTGGAAAAACCTGTTCATTTTTAAAAATCAGCTTGCCTTCTAATAGCTTATGAATTTGAGAGTCAATTTACCGCCCTTTTGCTTCTAGGTTACAAGAGGTTAGAATTTCCCTTTGGAAAGCTGCACCTGAATCCAGTTCAGATTTATGAAGTGCAGGTGTTACTACCTGTGGATTAATGGGTTTCAATTTACAGAATTCTGAATACAATTTGAGAGCAAAAAGAGAAAGTTCAACAAACAGCTTAAAGATCTATTCAATTAAAAAGCCTGTTTTAGGGTCTATTCACTCACAATACAATTTTAGAAAGGTTCATGGGGAAATCAGCAATCCAAAACACAGAACATAAATATAAATTGAAATAATTTTATTTATTAATTTGAAGAGGTTCTCACAAAAATCTACTAAAAAAAAATTTGCATGACTTGCTGTTAAATTTTTCTTAACTGATATTTAGGATAGTTTTCTTTCTGAAGAGAGAGTGAGATCACTAACATCTTATTAACCAAACAAAACTGTTCCATCAATCAAATTTCGTTTGCCTGACACCATATATTAAAAGCATCAACACACCTTCAGAAAATAATTGATTTTAGCGTGGCCAAAAAGAGTCATACCAATTGAGGGAACATCTCATAACAGTCCTGCACAAACACTGATAGAGCTAATGCAAAGCACACTTTGGCTTCAAAAGTTTAATATTTCAAGATCTGTTTCATTATTAGCTTGGCAGAAACTTTCCCCCCAAATATAGTGATAATAGAACAGCAGACTGGATAACAGGAATCACAAAATAGCTATAACACAGGAGGTGAACCAGATCTCTGCAACAGCAACTTAACTAGCTCCACTCCCTACCGGTTCCTGCAGCCCTACAAACGTGCTGTCTTTGGATAATTAGCTGATTCCCTTTTGAAAACCATGAATGAATCTGTCTTCATCACACACTCGGGTAGCACATTCCAAATGACACTTTTTTTTAAAAATGTGAACAAAAATAACCAACAATTTTTCATCTTTCACTACTTTAAACTGATAATTTGTTATAACTGATGTCAATTAGAGAGGTTTCAACAAATTTTACCATTAACAGCATAAATCCCCCATCTGCTTCCTCAGAGCTGGTGCAAATAACCAATCAAGAGGTCTGGCTGAACATCTGGTTTACTAAGTTGTCCCAATGCAGCCATGTTCTAAAAGTTGATTTTCCAGCTTTGATGTAGCATATTAATTAATTTGATTTTGATTTTTTTTTCCTTTATTCGTTCATGGAATGTGGGCGTCGCTGGCTAGGCAGTATTTATTCCCCACCCTAATTGCACAGAGGGCAATTAAGAGTCATTGCTGTGGGTCTGGAGTCACATGTAGGCCAGACCAGGTAAGGATGGCAGTTTCCTTTTCTAAAGGACATTAGTGAACCAGATGGGCTTTTCCCGACTATCGGCAATGGATTGATGATCATCATTAGACTCTCAATTGCAGATATTTACTGAATTCAAATTTCACCATCTGCTGTGGTGGGATTCAAACCCGGGTTTCCAGAACATTATTTGGGTCTCTGGATTAAACAGTCCAGTGATAATGCCACTAGGCCATCACCCCCATAATATTATTTATTGTCACGTGTACCAAACTACAGTGAAAAGCTTTGTTTATGAGCGGTACAGGCAGATCACAGCAAGCAAAGGATGTACAGATCAAAAAGACTTAGAGGCATACGGATTACATGACAGGTTACATTATTTGAGGCTAGAGTCCATTCAGCAGTCTGATAAGGGCCAGAAAGAAGCTGTTCCTGAACCTGCTCGTGCATACGCCCAGGCTTCTGTGTCTGCTGCCTGACGGAACAGGTTGTAGGAGGTCATTATTAGGGTGTAATGGATCTTTGATGATGTTGGCTACCTTTCCACAGCAGTGGGCCGTGGAAGTCGAGTCCATGGATGGAAGGTTAGCTTCTGTGATGGCCTGGGTGACGCACACCACCTTCTGTAGTTTCTTATGGTCCTGGGCAGAGCATAGAGTCTCTACAGAATGGAAACAGGCCATTTGGCCCAACAAGTCCACACTGCCCCTTCGAAGAGCATCCCACCCAGACCCATTCCCCATGTCCTACCCACCTAACCTAAACATTCCTGAACACTATGGGCAATTTAGCATGGCCAATCCACCTACCCTGCACATCTTTGGACTGTGGGAGGAAACCAGCGCACCCAGAGGAAACCTACGCAGACACGGGGAGAATGTGCAAACTCAAAACAGACAGTCGCCCAAGGTTGGAATTGAACCTGCGTACCTGGCACTGTGAGGCAGCAGTGCTAGCCACTGAGCCACTGTGCCACCCCAGCAGTTGCCATACCAGACCATTATGCACCTGGACAATATACTTTCAATGATGCATCTGTAGAAGTTGGTGAGGGACCTTATGGACATGCCAAATTTCCCGAGCCACCTGAGGATGAGGCATTGTTGTGCCTTCTTGACTGTCGCATCTATGTGTCTCCCAATAAGACATTACTGTCTACATGGAAACAGTTAGAAGCTGAAACAAGCTTGCTCACTAATAAAAGAAACGCTACACTCTGACAAGTAGGCATTTTACTACACCGAATGAATGAATTTCCACAATGCCTGTTATATTATTGCTGGCCTGCAGCAACAGAGCAATTTCAATACCAAGGAAGTGGAGAGTCAACACTGCATCTAACATCTGCTCAGTCACACAGCAACTGGGTTCTCAATAAGGAATATTGCATCCTTCACTGCTGTAATTAAGAGGTATCCAGTATTCCCAAATGGACATAAACAAAATGTAGGACAAAGGAGGAGGTCCTTCAGCCCAGTTGCAAAATAGCTATGCAGTTTAATTCCACTTCCCAGCTCCCAGTCTATAACACTAAGTTATGGCATCTAGTGCACGTGTTTGTCTTAAAGTGTGTTGATTTTCACAACTCTCTGCCCCAAAAAAAAACTTAGCTATTCTCTAGATTATCTGCTAATTACTTTAACTCAGGCCTCTGATCATTGACCTTCTTGCCAAGGGAAGTGTATCCTTCCTATCCACTCTATCTAGGCCCCTCAAATATAAAAATAGCCCTGAAAAAACAAATATCGACCAGAATTAGTAAATTATGAATCTATAATCTGCCAGTTGTAAAATACCATTTGAAGTCCATAATCCTAGACAAGATTAACTGTCAACTGGAAAACACGAATTAAAAATTGGCTGCCAGTACAGACTTGCTAAAGGTATTTGTAGTTCAAGTTATTTGATGAAGTAATGGAGAGACTTGATTTGGACACTACATTTGATAAAAGGACATCTTGACATGTAACATTAACTCTCGTCAACTTTTTAACTATCAAAGACATGCCTTACCTGTTGAGTATTTCCAGCATTCAGAGATTTTTGCTCTTGTACTGAGCTTAATATTGTACATGAGAACCTTCAAAAGGAGTTTATTAAAGTGCTACATGACGGACTTATTTCAAATGGATTAAAGAGCACAGACATGAAATTGAGGAGAGAAGAAGTTTCAAATAGTGGTGAATGAACATTTGTCAGACTGGAGGGAGATTTATAGTCATGTCCAGAAAGGTATGTATATGACCCACTGCTCTTTTTATATGACCTTAACTTGGGTATGGATGAACTCATATGTACTGAACAATGAAAGGATGTAGCAAATTTCAGAAGCACAGGAACAAACTAATGAAAATTGATGCAAAGAAGTGTAGATGGATGCATTCTTGAAGACAGAATGAGGAAAGACAATACAAACTAAATGTTGCAATTTTAATCACTGCATACCATCTGGAGATTCTCATACAAACATCTTTGAGAATGACTGGGCAAGATGCAATTGCTGAAAAAAAAAATCAATCATTCAGGATGCTGGATTCTCTAAATAGGTATGCAAAAATTTACAAATCACTGGATAAACTTCAGCTGGAGCATTGTATCCAGTTCTGGGCATCACATCTTAGGAAGGATATTAAGGCCCTGGGGAGGATGCAGAGGAGACTGAACAGAATTACACCAGGAATGAGGAAGCTTGGTTATATGGAGGGGCAAAAGAAGCTGGTGTTGTTTTCTTCAGATCAAGGTCTGTTAAGGGGAGATATTATTTACTGGTCAAAATTCTAATTAGTGGTAAATAACGAGAAACTGTTAAATAAATTAGTAAGGTACACAATGTTTTTGAAACTTAATTATAGTTAGCAAGAATGTTAGTTTCCATGTCTGCATAATAGGCCATTAACCCAGGGACAATACAATCTTGTAATGAAACCAAAAACAGAGATAAAAGGGGCCCAAGCATCGTCTGTATTATCATTGTGATTAGACTGGAGCATAGAAGAGATTGGGAAGATAAGCATGGCCACTAATGAGTGATTAAAATCAGGTTTATCCACAGACCAGAATTATACCATCATAGAGATCTAAGAGGATTATGGGGCAGGCAAAGATTAGTGACAGGGAAGGTGCAAGACCATCGAGGAAGTTGAAAGCAAGTATGAGAATTTAAAAGTCAAGGGGTTGCTTGACTAGGAGCAAGGTCAGTGAGCACAACTTTGCTAGATGAATGGAACTTTGTGCTTGTTAGGACAGCAGAGCCTGGATAATCTCAAGCTTATGGAAGGTAGAGCATGGAAGATCAGTCAGGCGTGTTTTAAACTGGTCTAGTTGAGAGGTAACAGAGGCATGGATAGAAGTTTCAACAGAAGAATGAAGAGAAGCAGAATTGGGTAATGTTACCAAAGGTGGAAATAGGTGACATTAGTCTGGCTCAGCCTCAGACATTGCCTAAAAAAGGGATGGAGTTAGCGGGAGGAGAATGGAGTTTGTACCAGGACGAAAGGAAATGTCTTTGGTCTTCCCAATTTTTGATTGGTGGAAATGTCTGTTCATCCAGTACTTGGATGGCTGACATACAGAACGACAGCTTAGACATGTCAGAGGGTGAGTGCAATGGTGAGTGGTTCGTATGTTGATAGCATACATGCAGAAACCAATGTGGTATTAGATGCTGTTGCCAAAGGGGAGTATACAGAAGAGAAACAAAAAAAGAGGGATTACAGTAAATTCTTTAGATCGCCACAGGTGACAACTCTGTGGTAGAGACAGAAGCCAATGAAGGTAATTCTTTGGCTATAAAAGAGGTAAGAATGGAACCAGACATGTGCAAACCAACAAATCTGGACATTAGAAAAGCAATGTGTTAAACCCTAACATATGTTATAGAAAGACAGAGACGAAAAGGGATGAAAATGGATAATAGGATTATTTCAGACACAGATGTCATTTGTGATATTGAGAGTACCACGGTAGGCCAATTCAAATGTGGAGTTCCCAGGAAAGATGAGCACAGATTTGGGAAAGGACACAAACAGAGGGGCTTTGGAGGGAAAAGTGAGGTTTGAAGACAGGATGATAGTTTGTAAGACATAGGATCAAGTGTTGATGTTATTCTGGGAAGGGCTGATCATAGCAGATGTGAAAGAGAAACAGTCCTTGAAGAGAGAACTGCTAGTAACATCCTTTAACACAGAGAATGAAGAGGAGATGTTGAGTAGTCAGCAGTCGGATAGCAACAGGGTCAAAGAAGCAAGAGTTCTCATAAGCTAAAGGATTGTAACTGTTTCCTTGAGTGATATTAAGTTAATTTCAAATTCACATCACTGAATTTCACCATGCTACCAGCTTTGCCAACAGTAATGTTTGTAGAGAATAAATAATGGGTCAAGTTACAGGGCAAATTTCACTGCTGTTCTTCGAATAGGGTCATAGGAGCACTCATGTATATCTGACAGAAAAAGCGCAAACTCTACCAGCTAAAACGGCAACGGCAGTTATTGAATGCATCTGCAAGTTTGCCAAGTCAGACAGTATCAAGACTAGAAGTGGATCACCATTCCTTTATCAGAACTGGGTCAAAATTCCATAACTACTTCTGTAACTGCACTATGAAGATACCTTCATGACATGGTCCATATTTGTCCATAAAAATCACTCACCATCACCTACTCAAAGGTGATTAGGGATGCTAGATTTGCTATCAATGCGCAAATCACATTAATGATTTTTTAAAGATAACAAGGTGTAGAGCTGGATGAACACAGCAGGCCAAGCAGCATCAGAGGAGCAGGAAAGCTGACGTTTCGGGCCTAGACCCTTCTTCAGAAAAAGGCCCTTCAAGCTTGCA